GGAACAAATATTTCATCATACATCATCGATGTTCGACCTTCATGGATTAGCGAAAAGCATTTTAAATTGGGCAGTTTCGTCTAAAAACACAAAAGAAAAATTAATGTGTAAATATTATTCATTTATTGAATAAAAAAGAGATTAATATGAGTAACTTACATCGTTTCCAACCGATGGGTATTCACAAATACCACGAGGACGAATCGTAACATAAAACGTATGCAGTTGATTGAACTGACCATCAAGCAAACAAAGACAATCTATGATAGTTTTTATTACAACATGTAATTCTAATAAATTCGAAGAGAAGTCAGTTGGAGCTATGCTAGTAAATGTTAATTGTTCATAATCACAAGATGAACTGAAATTTACACATTGTAAATTCTTGAACCGAGTACAGATTCTAATAAATATAAATATATTTCTTTGTTGTGGATGTCCCCATCCATCACTTAGTTGTACATGTGGTTTCATATTAATAAAAAGTGATGAAATTTGATTTTGAAATCGACGAATTAAATAACTTCCATCTAGACAAAAATTGAAAATTTTTATTAAATTATTTTGTTAATTTTTATTTTCTTTATTAACTTAAAATATTCTATTCTCTTTTCTTTAGCAATAAATTGATTGTTCACTGATCATGATTTAAATTCTCTAATAGATTATAAGGTATTGTCGATACTGTGTTTTATTATCTTAATCTTCTATTGTATAATCTAGAATTTCTATTTTGAGAATGAAAGAATTTTAATTGAAGATATTACAAAACAATATTTGTTTTCTATTAATTGATGTCTTTATATTTTGAATTTTTATCAAATTCTGATTATATAAAAAAATATTTTCAAAGAAATTTGTCTTATCCAATTAATCATTGAAAGAGTAGAAGAAAAATATCTTACCACAAAAGAGTTGATTCGCTGTTTCAAATGCAAAATTATATAAACCGAGTGCATGTAAATTTGGATAATTTGTTGCAAGAAGAATTCGTTCCATAATTGATGATTCAATATTAAGTCGTTCGATTTTATCATTAATTCTAGGTAAAATTTCACGACAAAATCGATCAAGTACCATATCAGTAAATTGATATGATGGACTATGAGCAGATGTTATTAGTGTTAAATTTCTTGTAAAAATTGTATCATTTACAATTGTATCAAGTCGTTTGTTAAGACCTATGAAAGAATAAAGTACATCACAATTGTGTAATTTTTGGAAAATAATCAGAAGAATTTCATCAGGTAAATCGTCCAGCTGAACACATGAATGTTCCATGTTCATTCTCATCATTGATGTTTTTTTTTTCTTGCTTTGTTTATAAATATATCTATATTCATCTGTTCTATCTGACCGATGTCGTCAATGGAAACAATGAGTATGTGGTTGTGTTGTCTAAATTGACCATGAATGAAGGGATAAACGATCGAATATTTTTTTTTTCTTTTTATTCAACATTTAGGGGTCAAACATAGTGGAAAGTGAATGAAATAAATTTTGTTTTAAGTCAACGACGTCTACACATCAAGCAGTTCAGTCACCAATGAGAGCGGAAAACACGTCTTTCTGTCTAATGCAGACAAAATGTCTGTGAAAAAGCCGATATTTATTTTGATGTGCAATAAAATCATAAGTGTCATATTTTATGTATATATTGTTTGATGAAAAAAGTGTGTATATATGAGACGATACGTCTGCTTTCTTATTGGAAAAAAAGAGTATTACACGTGGTTGACACATTAACATTAATTCACCTGAAAAAGATAATTTAAATCTGTTTTAACTTCGCGAGTCCAACTTTTTCTTTCATGCACATGCAATACTGGAAAATCTTGAACAAGAAAGTCATGCACGATGAACAGAGCTTGAGGCAAGATATGATACCTTTTAGAAAGGTAAAGCGTTTGCCTATCGCATTCATGTACTTGTAATCTTTTTCAAGCATTTGTGTTTCTTGCTGAAGCAGATGTAACATGCTTGTGCAATGGAAATATGATTTTTTCTCATGTTTCAGCCATTCATTGCGTGTACTATGTTGCAGGGTAAAACTCCAGTAAAAATACCTAGAATTTTAAACAGAAGATCTAAGAGAATTTATTGTTTTGGGAATTTTCATATGTGATTAGAGTCAATCTTATACACAAAGTTGGAACTCAAAGCGATTGAGCAGTTGAAAATGTTTCTTGGTAAATGTGTTTCACATATTTCTACTGTGTTCAAAAATGATAAATGAACATGTTCCGCATAGTAAATGCTCCTAATTCTTCAATATATGAATATACAATATCCTAACTCTGTATGTCAAAATAGAAGAAAATATTCATTTGAATAGTGGCAAAACTATTGCCGGGCACTGAACACTCACTCATAAGATATTGAAATAAAACAGTTATTTTCAAGAGGTCGCTATCGAAATATTTATCTATTTGATTGCTTATTTAAATGACGACTAATAGATATAATGGATATGATATAATGTATGTTCTGTTGGAATTCGATATTATATCCAATTAGATAAATTCCCTATCATCAAAAATGAATAAAACTCAACAAACTTCTGATTGTTTTTAAATAAATCTTTTGTTATTTTTGATAATTTTTGTACATTTAGAAAGGAAAAATTTTGATGAAGTAGAAGAGATATCAATTGAAGAATAAATGAATTCATTAAAAAACAAGTTGAAATTGAATTAAAAATGCAAAGAGATGCTCAATCATTATTGAATAAACATTATGCACAAAAAAAACATCGTTGATGAAACATAAATTCTTCTTAGAGATGTCAAAGACAAAATTGACTTTTTAAAAATGAAAATTCACAAATTAGAAAATCGTACAAATCATCTTTTATTTTATTTTCAACGTTTTTTTTTTAATGGTTTTAGTTGCAAACAATACAAATTCATCGATAAATAAATTTGATCCAATTGAAGAAAAAATTCAATCACTCCAACAATTTCAAATGGAACTTAAAGTATTCATTGTACATTTTTCTTTTTTAAATGAATTTCATAAACAATAAATCAATAGATAAAAGCACGTGCAGAAACTCTTTTAACAATATATAATGGACAAAGAACACAAAAAATGTGTGATAAAGCTCAAATTTTATCATAAGATGCAAAAGCGAAAATTGAATTTATTAAATTAGAAATAAAACGTCTTTAATATGATTTTAATTTAACTAAAGAAAATAAAATTATTCGAGCCATATTAATTTATCCATCAGAACAAACAATTCAACAATTAGAACATCATTTATCAACTGAAACAACTATGAAAAAAAGATGCAAAAGATGATCTTCAACTTAAACAAAATGGAGCAAAAAAAAGAACTTTTATCTCAAGCTTATACAAATTTGTTTCAATTTGAACAAGGAATTACATTACTTGAAGAAACTTGTAAAAGAAAATATCTAAAACATCCTATTAAGAAAATCAAGCTATTTTAAAAGCAAATCCAATTACTGGAATACTTGAAGTTAGATTAGATTATTTTATTCATTTATCTTTTATTTCATTTTTATTTATATAAAAGACTTCTGGGTTTTCAAGAATTACTTCAACAATCTCTTCTTACAACTCTTACTAAACGTGATAGTTTTAGTACAACTCCTGAAGCTTTATTTAGAACATTACGTGGAAACAATAATTTATCAAGTAAGATTTTATTAACAAATCAATTATTCTTTTTTTTATTATATGGACAATTCCACGAAAAACGGGACATACCCTTCTATCATTCGACTTTGATATTTTAAAATAGTGTTTTTCCTGAATAGGTTCTTTTAGCATAAACATATGTAAAAGTGTTAATACTTTCAGCTGATAATTAATTAAAATTAATTAAGCAATAATTAGTGAATATCTCTCTAATAATATGAGGCAAAAGCCTAAAACTTTCAGGTTAAACTCTACATCGAGAACAATATCTATGGTAAAATTTTCAGCAAGATTGGAATTCAAAAATTTTCCTTATGAAAACGAGCCCTCTAGAGGTCTTGCTAAGTTCTGAAATCAAATTTTTTGTCCTATTATTATCTGAAGATCCTAAGGAAGGATTTGTACCGCTTGGAATTGGTTTTGAACTTCTCATTCAGTTATAAAAACATTTTTTCTTTTTTATATTCGTACTCGGTCACGTCTTTAACGAATTTGTCACGTCCCTAACAAGAAGTAAACCGAGGTTTTTGAAAAATCTAAGCATACTGAGAAAAAACTTCCGATAGAAGTTTTGTACTATCGAAATTCATCTACAGCATGTACTATTTAGTTTCCAAGAATACTGCTCCAATTCGTAGTTTTCTTAAGCTGAAGTACTCGTAGTCAAAGTTGATGTCTTTTTTTTGGTCACGTCCCTAACCCTACTTTCTGATGATAACTTCTCTCAACAAAGAGTTATACGGCTGAATATTTCAGACTATATAGAGTAACTTAATATGCCTATGACATAAAAAAATCAGCTCTAGAGGCGTTCATTATTTAGAGGTCTAAGCGTTTTAATTTTGCGAAGTCATGTTCCTAGCAAACGGAATTGTCCATATATTCCAATATTTCGTTCTGCCAACAAGACTCATCAGAATTATAGATAAACTCAATTAATAATTGGTGGATATTTTGAGATTCATTGGGAATTAAAATTCTATTTGATTATCATATAATAAACAGACTGAATTCATATAGATTCATCTCCAGAAATTTGGATCGAATTATTTTTATAAAAGTATTAGACATGAGTGAAATGAGTCCATTTTAGGTTAAATTTTGTTGAAATAAAATTTGTTTAGATGAAATAACTGCAATATGACGTATTGATAATGTTCAGAAAGCTGAAACTGGTTTCAAAGTCTGTAGTCAACAAGCTTTGGATCAACATTTTACAATTGAACTTGATTGAGTATGTTCTATTTTTATTAATTAATTACAATTAATTTTTATAAAAACAAAAGGTTCAAAAACTTGAATAAATGTATATTGGTGTAATTATCGTTCAATGTGTATGGAATACGTTTTATTTGTTTAGAAGGTTTTATTAATCAAAAAATGAAATAAGTGGAATGATTATTCATTTAGAACCACAAGGACTTCTTTTTGCTGATGTTTGTTTAGTTTATTTGATTTTATTCATTTTTTTATTTTTATTTTATAAAATAGATTAAATTTATAAATCCATTAATTAAACCTGCACCTAAATTAAAACAACAAAAGATATTATTTTTTGAAAACGAAAAGGTTTATTTTCAAACTTTTTCAAAATAAATCAAATTTTTTGTTTAATAAAAGAAAAAATCTTCCACAACCATCCGATATGCATATTGATGTAACACATTATAGTATCGTTTAATAAGAAAAGGTGTAATAACATCAAATAATTCTGATGAAAATGATTTCATATCATCATCAAGAGATTCACATTATGTTGTTTATGATATGTTATTAGAAGATGGAATGCCACCAAGAAAAGTTGGATATTTTCCACCAAAAAATCAATCTAATTATGAGATCAAATTAAAGTATTTAATTTATTTCAATAGGATATATCGAATTCTTAATTAGATAAGATTTTTTTTTAATAAAAGAACAAATGAAATATGATATTTTAAAAGATTATTTAATCAAAACCTTTTTATTTCAATAGACAATTTTAGAAATGAACAAAAATAATATGAAAGTTCCTCTGAATTCTGTAGTACCGAATGCATCATTTTCTCATCAAACAAATGCATTAGTTCAATCAGCTCTCAATCAATTAATGAAAATAATGAAATGAATGATATGCGTCGATCAAATCTACCTGTTGTTGAATATGAATCTTTATAAAAGTTGAATAAAATATTACGAAATCTAAATGAAGAACAAGATTCAAATGCAATAAGAAAACATCTTTAAATATATTAAATTCAAGGTTTATTATTATTTCCGAAGTATTTTTTCTTAAAAAAATCTTTATCTTGATATAGATTTCCAAAAGGTGTTAATATTAATTTATTTTGTCTGGCTAGTGTTTTAGGTCAAGGTCATTTTGGAAAAGTAAATTTGTTTTTATTTTGATAAAATAATAAATTTAATTAAAAATAGAAAGGTCATATTACAAGAATATACCCCTCGTTGTGGAGATTATTATGCAGTATTGAAAAAAGGTGATATATTAGTGTGAGATGAAATTGAATTATTAATGATTGAAATAATAAATCTTAGTGAACATCCATTTTTCTTTTTTTTTTTTATTAACTCAATTATTTTAGTTTAAGTCTTTCTAAAGAACGTGTTGGTTACGGTGAAATTACAAGTACATTTGATGGTAAGCCGGAAGTAAATTTATAATTGTTTTTTTTTTAGTTATTTTCAATCTGATTTTAGTTTTTGGTACCTAAAATACTTACTGAACCTCCATATATATGAGCTGTTGATTGGTGGAGTTTAGATAATTAATTATGACATTTGTTTGATTTTTAATTAGTGCAAATGGGTATTTTAATTTATGAAATGTTAGTTGGAGGATCTCCTTTTCCAGGTCATGACGAAGAAGTTTTTGATTCAATTATAAATGAAGAAGCCAAATTTCTAAAATTTCTTCCCGTTAAATCAATAACTAATATTATGAAATATGTATGATCATTATTTTACCTTTCATGTATTACTTTATTGAATTTATCAATTTATGTAAAGCTTTTTTGCAAAGACATTGCGCGTAGATTAGGTACTAGCAAACATGATGCTATTGATATCAAATGATAATGTTTTTTTAAGGTTCATTTTATTGAATTATGTATTATTAAACAAAATTTTTTATGTTTTTTTTCCAGAATAGTATATGGGAAGACGTGTTGGCAAAGAAAACTATCATCTTTCGTTCCTATTGTAGTTTGTGTTTTTTTTTTAATTTCAAACTAGAATTTATCTTATTAATGGATTTTCTTTTGTTATTTTCAGCAAAATGTAGGTGATGTTTCCAATTTTTACACAGAATTTACATCAGAAAAATCAATGTTAACACCAGCGCAAGATCCTCATCCAATACATGACGTAGATCAACAGTATTTTCAAGAATTTGATTATATAAATCAATGAAAAATTAGTAGATGCTGAACTTGATTCCATTCTCATTCCATTTTCTAATCTTTTTCCTTTTTGTATTCGTATATTTTTCTAATGGTTAATTTTTCTGTTCATGCTGTTATTATCTTTATATTCTGGTCTAATCTTTCTCCATTTCATAATTTTATTAACAAATAGTTGTCTATACGAAATTTTTATTTATGAGCTTTTTAAGAAATCGAAATACAGTTGTTAGATAAAAGTATCATGTATATTCTAATAATTTTTTGGTTTCAACGTTTTTATTTATTAGAAAAAGATAGAAAAGACTGAAGATAACAACGGGGATACTCTTGACCTAGGTCTTTTGTCTCGAAAGTTTCAACAGTTCAAATAGAATTCTGTTGCAGCTTGTACTCTTCATATTTCTGCCAATATTTCTCCTAAAGCTGTTTCTAGTAGCTGGTCTTCATTTGTTTGTATTCTAATAATTTAATGAATAGAAAATGAACTTTAACTAAACTATATGATCAAATCATATTCGTCGTTTCGAATACCAAAATTCGTAGCTATGCTTTTATCTTTAGAGCTATAGAATGTGTGAAATCGATCTAAACTATATAGTACAGGGTGTCCGAAAATTATAGGACCCCTTTTATTTTTGAACTTTTTCAACAAAAGCAAATAGTTAGGTCAAATGTAAATAGTGATTTGGATAGCCCATGAAATTCTCTATCGAATACA